TGGCGGCCAGGAAGGGAAGAAATCTGAGACCAATGGCTGCTGCGTTCCAGGGACCTTTGTGTTTCCTACAAGTCTCTGTAGAAAGCAGAAAACCTGCCACAGGGGCAGGGGGTCACAACAGCAGGGACCTGAGGGAGAACACTGCTCCGGGATTTTCAAACATGGGGTCTTTTCTAAGTGGATTCAGTTCAGTGTGGCAAGAGCGCTGGGCCAGGAGCAGTGGATGTGGGTTCCAAGCTAGGCACGATCGTTTCTTAGCCATGTGAGCTTGGGCCAGTCACTGAACTTCCCAAGCATCAGTCTCTCCATCTGTAAACAGAGTAACAATACCTTCCTTATCAAAGTTGTGTGGAAATGAATGAGTAAGAATGCTAGGGTTTTTTGGGATGGAATGAGATGATTCATGTAAAGTGCTTAGCACAATTCCTGGCACCCAGCAGGTTTTCTACAATGCTATTTATTATTGTTATTATGAAATACAGGGAAAATGTCAAGACCTTAACAGCGTATTTATCGATCTACAAAAGGCTTAATCTCATGTGTAGGCCAGTATTGTGGCAACTACTAAATACATAATCTAAGAAGTCAAGATTTTAAGATAAAAAAATAAACAAATGAATAATCATTTGTATGTAGTTTAATGACTAGGGAAAAATAATACTCTAGATTTTTTTCTTAATCTGGAAAACCTAGATTTTTCTCTTAATACCAAAATGTGTTTCTGACATAAAATAAAATTATAAATAAGGACATGAGAAAAGGATGTCTCTTGCTTGTAATCAAATAATAACAATTATACATTTTGACATCTAAAATAAAAGTGAAAATAGTTTATAATATCCGATGCTGGTGAGGTGGTGGCAAAACTAGTGTGCTTATTCTCTGCTAGTAGCTTTGGAAATCAGTACGGTCTTCTTGGAAGGTAATGTGGCAATACCTAACAAGGGCCATCAGGCAATCTACTCCTGGGTCTTTCTCCTAGGGAATGATTCAACAGAAGCAAAAAGAGGTGTATACCAAAACCAAAAATAAAAACAAACTAATCTTTCCTTCCTCCTCCTTCTTCCCTCCCTCCCCACCACCACCAAAAAAAGGGAAAGCTGGAAATAATCTAAATTTCCAACTTAGGTGAAAGGTTTAATCTATTAGAGTAAATCAATATAAGGGAATATTATACAGCCATGAATTGTGACGACTACATGTGATCATGGAGAATGTTTAAGATCTGATGTTTAAACAGCATGTACACTATCATTGTAGCTGTAAGAAATAAATGCAGCACCTTTGGAAATTAATACCCAAAAATGAAAACAACTATGTTTGAGGGAAATGATTATGTACTTATTTGGTTAAATATTTCTTTAACCTTGTTACATTATCTTTTAACTTTTCCAAAAAATTATGTGGTCACAGGGTAATGGTTATTTGGGATCACCTAGTAACGGCCTACTAACTTCTACACAAGGCACCAAGCTTGGCCATCCTACAGTGGCTCCTAGGACCCAGTTACAAGGCCATCCTAATGGGTGGAGGTCTTCACAGTGGAGATGTAGAGAGTTCTAAAGCACTGATGGGTTGATGGTTCTCTCTCATAATAGTGTATTTTTTCGCTGATTTAGTTCTACAAGGAAGCAAAATAATGACTGTGGCTTCTTCTACTTTTTCTAGGCTTGGGTGCCTTGAATTAGTTACATACATGTATATATTTTCCTCCCTTGGAGATTCCCAGATTAATATCAAATGTTCAACAAAGTACATGGAAGTACAAGTAATGGGGAAACTGCTCTTGCAAAGGGCTAAAATTGCAATATTATATAGTGCCATTCAAGAGCTAATTCAATATCCTTTTTCTCCTAAGTGGTAAAATTGGGATGCCAAGACCTCCACATCTAACACTCTCCATCCAGGTAACAGAGGCCCAAAGAAGGGTTGCACAGAGAAACCCAAAAGTAAGCTGGCTTAGCTCTGTACACGGAGAAACTGTTCTGCAAAGATCTTTTGCAAAGTGGCGTCACCAGTAGCATCACTGCCTCTAAACCCATCTCCCAGGAATGAGGGAGGGAAGACTTACCCTTTCAAAGAAGAAAGGGGAAAAAAGCCACAAGAACGACTGGTACCACAGCAAATGTCTGCCTGAGTCTCCCTGCACGGTCTTAGGTGAGTGTCCAGGAAGGTATCTCCCCTACACTTGTGCCTTCCTTTGCATTAGCCTTCATTCCTCTAAATGAAAAGAAGTACCCCCGACTGAGAGTGGGGAGTTTGGAGTGTGTACAAGTGTGTGGATTCATTAAACGCTAACAAGCACTGAGTACGTAAGTGAGTGGGTTTACTGGAACCTGAGGGGGTGGGGAAGCAGGTTTTGTTAGCTGGTAGGATCAGGAGAATAAGGTTGGTACCAACATACCATGAAAGAAATGAGTTGTGCTCTGTTTTCATTGTGGCCATCATGTAACATTCTGCTTTTCCTAAAATCACCTACATTCCATACTGATTTTTAAAATGTAACTATAGCTTTTCAGTATTTGTTGACTCCATGACTTTGTTTCCAATCTCAACTGCAACCAGTCAAATGACTCTGGTTCTAAATTAGATAGGTAGAAAAAAAGATAACCTATATATTAGATCCTTAAGTCTACACTGAGTCATGCCCACATCTAAAACCACTATCTGCATAAGACGCAAGAGACTCAAAACAGTTCAAACTCCCATAAACAGCACTGTTTTTAATCTGTTGCCTACAACATACCAATGAGAAAAATCATGGTATCGTGTCATAAACTGCTATGCAAATGATGCTATTTGTAAGTATTAACATAATTTAGTGCTTACAGTCATATTCTCATTTCTAATAATTCTCCCAGAATGGAGTCTTTCTCTGGACTCTTAGCCTGCAGGATAGTCTTTCATCAAGAAGCTGAAATTTTTAATAACCTGCCAGCATATGTTTTGTACATGCCAGGCTAGGCTTGATGACACAACATCTTCATTATTGAAAGAAACAGGTCTACAAACTGTAATAGGACGTTAAAACACGCCTGTGCTCATAAAGTAATGCTTTGATGTCTAAATGTGCACCATTACGATGGTCTTCTGGAACAAAGGTCATTCCACCCCCGAACTCTCCACAGCTCCACGCCATGGAGACCGCGGTTCACTTCCACTCTGAATACGATTTCACTTTGAAGGCAAAGAATGTCAATAGTCTTCTACAAACAAAACAAAAGCTCTTCAGAACCGCTTTATTTTTTATTTTTATTTTGGCTTCTAACCACGCCATGACTAAGCACAGCTCTCAGAGTATAAAGAGATTTCTGAGTAATTGTATTTCCCTTGTTAAATTTTAAAAAATGATTTAAATAGGTTATTAATTATTCAAAAGTTGCACATTTAATAACATTAACAACAATGCCAAATGTATTTGGTGACAATTTAAAATGGTACAGTTTAAAATAATTGAAATTAAATAATGTATGGTCAGCCTTCTAGGTGCAATTCAGCCAAAGGTCAATATTTTACATATTTTTTAAACTTAAAGTCAGACGTTTCCAATTTGTCATAGTCTAGGGATAGGAGAATTCTTTAAAAATTACTAGTTTGAAATATTGGGACCAGCAAATACTTTGCACACTAACATTTCAATTTCTTAAATAAAATGTCATAATTTTCATGGTTTAATCTCAACAGTTTTGCTTTAAAAAGAAAATTCTATACAATATAAAATAAAATCCAGTTCAAAGAGAACACAGGAGAAACCTCTATGGGCCTCAAAATTAAATACATTTTCCTTGTTTTATTTTTTTCTAGAAGAGTAATTCACTTTGTATCCTTTAAATAACATGTAAAAAGCTGGCCTGACAGGTACTGCATTTAGTCCCTTCACTGATGGAGGGGGAAGAAAAGCCCAGAATAGATCATGGGGAGAACAGCAACATTTGTCAAAGGGAACTCTCTCTTCTGACTGTTCTCTAGATTTATTCATCATTTCACTTTCACAAGAATAATGTGGTTCTCCCGTGTGCCCCTCCCTTTCTATCACTTGTGTCTTGATTCATGTACCTCTGTGGTGGGATGCTCAAAGCGGATGCAAATCACTCCGCAGCCCACCACTATGTGTTTGGGAGGGAAGGAATCAACTAAGGGAATTTGCATCTGAATTTTCCTGATTTCTGCTATTTTCCTAAGTTATGATTTCACCAGTGGGGCAGCCCAAACAGAGACTGGAGATTAAGAGAAGCCGGGCAAGTCTAGGCCCCTGGGTGCAAAGTGAGGCAGCTTTTAGAATGGTGGGTTTAATTTCTATATTTAACTGTATAAAATTACTTTAATTATTAAGCAAGTTTGGAACAGACTAAGAAGTTGTACAATTCATTCTTCCACCAACATACATGGAAAAATCTGTATACGTCCACTCACATGCTAAGACTTCTTACGTATTATTCAGCTTTTGCCTGGAGATTTTCTGGCGGGGATGTATAATTTTCTCAAGATCTCACAGGGGCCAGCAGTTACATAAATTTCCTTGAATTGTCTTCAAAAACGTATGACTCCTGACAGAACGCTATTCTACACTAGCTTCCAGGTGACAGCCGCTCACTAATAGAATTTCTCTCTCATAATAAAATACAGCGAGCTTGATAACAACAGTTGTTAGAAGCATATGATCAAGATCACTTAGAAGGAATGAGATTTGTAATGTTATTTGAATATGGTAAAAAAAAAAAAACCAAAAAACCCTTTCTAATTATCATAATCCATTTGAAGACGTGAATGAAGACTTTTAGGGCCCAAAGAAGGGACATTTAAAATAACCTAATCCACCCCATTCACTTTGCATGTAAAGACTAAAGCCCAAGGAGGTCAAAATGACTAGCCTAAGGTCTCACGGCTGGCAGGTCACACAGCTGAGTCTAGAAGGATGTGCTCTCATCTCCCGGCTGAGCCTGCTGTTCCATCTCCTAACTGTCAGACACCGTGGGCTTACGTCACCATTGAACACTCACTTGGGCCCATTTCTTGCTCCAGTCTTCACGGCCATATTTGCCCCTCTCCTTTAGGATCCACTTGTAGCACTTTAGGTGGGAAGGAATGTCACAGAATGCAGTCCCATTTCCTCTGAGCTCACAGTCCATTTTAAAGAGCCAGCGCTGGATTTCCAGGTGATCGGTAATCAGCTGACTCAGCTGTTCTATCATCTGTGGGGCCCAAGACACAGCAACACTTACTACAGCTAGTTTCCTGGATTCCTTATTAGTATAGTCACTTAGTTGTACTTTTCATGCATCTTTATTTCAAATGGTCTGTTCATTCAATTATCTTGCAGTTATTAAGGCAGATTAGAAGTTCTAAGTGCTATGTGTGTGATATGAAGAAATCACTAACCAATGGGACCAATGACATGTTTCAAAGTATAGTCCTCTTTATGAGAAATCCTCAAATTATCATTTTGCTGGCTTTTGAAGGCAAAAGAAAGCATCCTCGAATATCTGTAATTGAATCTTGGTATTGTTTTCTTTCTTTTTTGGAGAATTATGTGTTTACTTATTGATTCTTCAAATGATATTTTTTATAGTTTCAAGACTATAAAGAGTTATAGTCTTGAAAACTTTAACTGCTTGGAGCTTTGCTGAGCTTTTAAATGTTATAACCTATAAAATATTTAATTTTTTCCTCATTAATGTACATGAAATACATTTGTTCGGCTGGTCAACTGGCCAAGAGTGTTATGTGAACAAGACAGATAAAGGAGATAACACAGTCATGAAAGCAACTTTTCTAGAATACACAGCTATCCTACATTTTATTTGAAACAGTATTTTCTCAAGAACTGGGCTCAATCACATGGAAGTCTAAGGGATAGAAGTTCAAGCTCTAATATCACAACGATATTAATAATAATAATAATAATAACAATTAATAATAATATCTAACATTACTGAACTGTCAGTAGGAGCCAGGTCTTTGGCTAAGATCTTTACACGAGTTTTCTCATTTAATACTCACAAAAACCTATGAGGTAGAGGCCACTATTAGCTCCATTTTGTATGTAAGTAACTGAGACTCAGCTAATTTAAATAACCTGCCCACATCACACAGCACTGAGTGGCAGGGCAGGCTCTACCCAGGTGGCTCTGACTCCAGCACCTAGGCTCATGCCCTCTTCACTGTGCTTCCTGTCAGCCTGCAGAGAGGTGGGGGAGAAGGTGGAGGTGGAGAAGGGAGTCAGAAGAGAGAAAGAGAAGCAACTTTCCTTACAGTCAATAAGCCATTTGGGATACGTTTGAATCAGATAACAGTCTATAGCAAGATTGCTTAATTATAAATAATACTGTGCTAGGAGAGCCTTGGGGACAAATAATTCATTAGATCGCAAAATGATTTTTTATTTGGTCTTCTCTTTAGACTTTCCAGTTTATACTTCCCACAAAGGAACAAAGCAACACAAAACCTTCTCTCTCCTGAGACTACCCCATGCTGTTCTTGGTTATGGTTTTCTGTACTTAGGCCTCTGCAACACTCTTATTCTCTTCTCTTTTGATGAGTTTTTGCTCACCAAATGGATTTTTATTTTTTATTTTTTTAACTAAAGAATGTGAAAGGACTCAGGATTATAGTTCTGCTGAAGTCTGGAGCTAGCTGATTAGGATTATTTGGATTAAAGGCACAATATGTTCTCTTGAGTCCCGTCTTTCCAGCGAATCTTCCTGGGGACGTTACAGTCCACAGCAGTGTGGAAGTTATACCATGAGGCGCATACTTTGGATCCCTGGAAGCTCCATGCAACCATGGGGTATTCAATTAGGGTGAAAATGGAATTGTCTTAGCTCCCTAATTATCAAGTAGTGTCTGTGGATAATTTGGGTGTTTAAATGAAAAGTACTCTGGTCTGCACACCACACGGCTATGAGCATAGCCTAGGAAAGTTTTTCAATGTGCCTTCCAAAGTTACGTCCCCTCTTTTTCTAACGTTGTGTTAGAAGGTAGATTCTATATTCAACCATATTTTGCTGTATTCATACTTTGCAGAAGTAGACATGGTCTTTGGCCTGTTAATATCCAATAAAACTCTTTTGCTAGTGTAAGGAAAGGTGATCTGGCATAGCCTTTTTCATTGTGTATTTGGATATATTGTCTATTTGGAGGTTTCAACTACTAATCAGAATTCTTATCTGTTTCTTCCAAATCCTATTATTTGTTGCTTCTGAGAATCCTATAAATGGGCGTCTGTTGATGGATCCCCTACAGTAATGAAAAGGATCAATAGTATTGTAAAGACTGCACCAGTGGAAAGAATTATGTGCTATCTTTAAGTGAAAATTGAATAGTACTTTAAAATAGCATCGCCATTTTTGATTATTTAACCAAAGCTGTCAATATTTCATATGCAGCACACTCCAGAAAGAGAACTTGCATGGTTACTTTATGGATCAAAACAGGAAATGCTCACTGTACTCATGCTAGATGTAAAAAATAAATAAATAAGTTACTTAATCATAAACCAAATGACTTTGTGCTACTTCCAAACATTTATCATTTTCTATTTGAGTCTCTCTGTCAAAAGATGTAATAAATATTTTCATTGCCACTCATTTTATACTGGTGCAGAACAGAAATAGAAAAACGTCTACTGCTAAAATCCAACTGATAGGAATATTTATTAAGCCAAATTAAAATAATCACAGGTTTCTTTCACTGGCTTTACGTTTATGATGCACATTGGTAAAAAGCGTTATTGATTCCCCACCATTGGCAAATTCAAAACACTGATACGCTCAGATAGATTAGGAGGGTGGTCACTATCTGGAAGAATCTCAGCGGAGTCCTTCAGTTCTTGCTGACCTCAGACGTATGTTTTCGTACAACTAGAGTAGAACTCAGTTATAACTTGGCTTATTGTGACAGAGATTGCACATGCCAGAGGCAAAATGGCACCCCTCAAATCCAATTTGTCTGCGAGGAGGAGGTTTTTATTCCTACTTCTGTATCTAGCATTAGAGGGATGTTTGCTCTATTTAATGTGTTTGTATCTTTAACCACAATCAACATAGAAAGTTCTAAAATATTTCATAGCAAAGATTGCCTGAGTCCTCACCGGTGAAGATGAAAGCGAGACTCAATATAAATATGGCACATACATTTTAAAGTTTTGAAGGTTATTTAGTGTAATGTACACATATGAAATTGGATTGTTTGAAAATGCATTTCACGTGCATTAAGTCCATCAGTCGAGTACTGGGAGGCAGAGTCAGGAAATCCACATTGTTATCTTTAGATTCCAGTGGAGGCTAATGACAATGAAAGGGACACACCAGATCAGGGGCGCCTCTCTCTTCTGCTGCTGTTAAAAATGCCTGTGCCTTTTCCAGGCTCTGCTACCTTTAAGAGCAACTTCCTTCGTGAGCCATGTATTGCCCTAGAACACTCTAGCAAGACTGAACATTTTAGGGCAATTTAATAAGCTAAAAATATCTTCAAACTAGTCTCTGAAAAGTATGATTTGCTGAAAGGCTTGATTTTGGGGCTCAGCAGCTGTGAGATACGAGCATCGTGATCAGGCAACTGAGAGAGAAGGAGGATCCCTAAATATCGTCTCTCACAGACTGCCTCGTCGTGCACGGTGCTTCAGTTTCCCAGGGCAGGGTGGGGATCGGTTGTGATTGCCTCAGAGTAATGGTCAAGAGATGTACTGACACAGAAGTTAGGAACTGTTCACAACCATTTGTCTTTTTATTTTCTTTATTTTGAAAGAAGATAGCAATTAAATGGGAGAACATCTGCCAGAGTGAACTCAAAAATCATTTCTGGTGGCTGATATTATAGTTCTCCAAATAGTAAGAGGCCTAACTATCTGCTGGAAGGACGCATAGCCATAGACCTGGTCCGAGGCAAAAACCGAGAAGCAGATAGTTTTATGTCTGGAGCCATTTCGCTTCACCTTTCTGGGATTTTCCCCATACTCCATTTATGGCCCCTTCCTGAGGAGCCAAAGGATTGTTTTTACAGAGCCAAGGATGTCTGCAGCCTCTGCTACAGGCCCTCTGCAACCTGACTAGGCAGAAGGGCTCACTCTCTGGAGCTTTCCAAACCTGCTCCTTTTAGCCAAAGCGCACTCTCATTTCACGGGGTCCTGCTACCTGACTGGCTGGCTAATATGAGGATCAGCTAATGCATGTTAAGGCCATACATATTGATAGCAGGTTAGTACATTAACAGGGCCTGCAATATCTTAATCCAAATGAGTACATATTTTGGGAATTCCAGCAATTTCTGCAAGGCTATTAGGAAGACACTTTGAAACATGAAGGCCTAAAGGAGAGCCCATCAAATCAACTCAAGCATTTCACATGCTCTTCATCCGGGAGGGCTGGCTCCAGAAGACCTAAAGGTCCCACAAGGGCAGAGGGTGCGAAGTATTTGAACAGAGCCTCACCTGTCCACCCCACATACCTGTTGGTGACTAAAGATGTCATATATTCCAGGAGGGACTGGCACATTGGCGCTTTCAAAGATCCGTTTACTTCCGGACTTGGTACTATAAAGATGAGCCAGCTCAGGTTCCGGGCCCAGGATGGGTATGTTTAACATATCCGCCACAGCTAAATCATCTCTGTGGAGGAACCCACCGACGATGTAGGCGTCTTTTCCCTGGATGAGATTTTTTATTCTTTTCATTGCCTTGGGACTGTACATTAGGAGAGTGGCCAGACACATACGATGCTTCTGGGGGAAAATCATATTATTCTTGTTAAAAGGTGTTCTTTTTCTAGTCCATACACCTAATTTATAACGTTGCACACAATAAATGCATTATTAATAGCAGGCTGGGTTATGACCTATCCCGTTGTTTAGCAGTTTAAATTGATAAAAGCTGTTGGGGTGAGGCTCCATAATCGCTCACATCTTTAGTGCGTTGGAAATAGGCTCACTGGGAATAGAACTAATTACTACACATCTGTATTTATTTGATCCACGTGGAATTATCCTTCTGTCAGAAGGAAAAGAGGCTGGGGCCTTTGGATAATACTGATTCATCTCTGCAACACTTCTGGCATGGTTTAACACTGGTGTCTGGAAAATCAATACAAAAAATGAAGAAAAAAGCCCCACAGTATTCTTCTCGAGACCGGACTCCCAACCTGGCAACTCTTGAAATGATTCGATAGGAAAAAGGCCCTTGACTCGATACTCTTTCCAAAGTTCTACCACAAACTCCGTTTCAGGGAATAAGTGCTTTTACAATGATTAGCATGGTTTTAGCCAACACTCCGGAGAGGATTCACGAATGGAAAATATTTGAAAATTTCAGCAGGACTCAAATTCATTTTCCAATGGAAAACTTTATTTCACTTTTGACTATTTAGACCCAGCATAGCAATACATGTGACTGACTCATTATTAAGATTAAGTAAATAATTCTGGCGGGTCTAACACGGGCAGAGGACGGAGCCAGATGGTCAGCACACACCAAAACTGACACAATCACATCTCTGCGTTCAAAGAGCAGGGACACAAATGAGTACGGTTAATGCAGAACTAATTCAAGGCTGAGAAGGGCCATAAGGAGCCACAGAGGGCCTCGGAGGCCTGGAGGAGGGAGGCAGAGGCCACATGCTGGTGGGGAGAGCTGAAAAAGCAGGTTGCTCATTCTCCTTGGGGCTCCGTTTCCTCATCTGTAGAATGTGTATCATAATAGTGCCCATCTCAGAGGGATGCTGTGAGGATTAAACAAGATGATGCATGTAAAGCACTTACAATAGTGCCTGGACATACTAAACACTTAATGAATGTTAGCTGGTGTCATTATTATTATGACAGACATTGGGGTTGAGGTGCATTTTGAAGGATGGGTAGGATTTTATCAGGTGAGGATGGGCATGGGAAAGACCGTAGCCAAGGATGGAATGTGAAAACCCAAGACTGTGCTCTCTTCCTCCAGAGAAGAGGGCAGCATGGCACACGAGAAAGTCCTGGGGTCTAGGAATCAAACAGTTCTGGCTTTGAATCGAGCTCTATCGCTTATAAGCTCCCTGAACTTAGACAAACGACTTAGACTCCCTGAGCCTAAGTTGCTCCATCTGTTAAATGGGAATAAAAATGCCCATTTGCTGGGTTGCTCTAAGGATAAGAGAAGACCATGAATGTAAAACAGCTTTATAATGCATGCCGTTGAGTTGATATTGAATAAATAGTAGTAGTTATTGTTACAGAGAAAGCTCTCTTTTTACAATAAAGTCATTAAAACGTCATGCAAATAATTCAATGCAAGGTGCCAGAAAGATTTTGTAGACTAGCATCTACTCCCCCAAGTCCAGTCAAAATTATCTACTCAACATGGCATTAAAATGCGGAGAAACGTCACGCAACTGTTTCCCAGGAATATCAGCTGCACCAGTTTGCAAACTTGGCTGGTCTAACTGGTGAGTGTGGGAGAAAGAGACTGAGGGGAGCCGCCGGATTTCAGTCCTGCCTAATTTTGTAACCTGCAAGTTGATTTAGAAAGCTCACCCTTTCGGAGCCTCAGTTCCGCATATTCAAATGAGCTGTTGGACTAAAGTCTCTAGGGTCCTTCCAGCTCTGAGATGTCTTTCCATGTAACACCGGGGCTTTTCTGGACTTACTGCTTAGTGGGCACCGAATTTCTGCTTGAGGCGTTGAAAACGTTTTGAAAATGGGTAATACGATGGTTGCACAACAATGTGGATGTACTAATGCCATTGAACTGTACATTTAAAATGGTGACGTGGTAAATTTTATGTTATGTATCTTTTACCCCCCACCCCCACCCCAAGACAACAGAGCTCCTGAGAGAAAAGATAGTTGTTCAAGATGTCTTCATAAACATTAAAATGTTCAAAATGAGACATGATGACTTTATAACAGCACTTTTTACCATTACAGATTCAAACATTGTATAGTAACTTGGAGAGATGTACAAACAGATTTCTGGCATGCTTTAAAAAAATCTCCTCAAAGCCATCCATTTGAATGAAAAGCGGCACTGATACAATCTCAAACCCATTAAAAAGAAAGCAAGCCATAGCCAAACGTGAGCAGGAACTGATTTGAAAGTAAGAGTTTAATTTTTGTGTTTTAACAAGTTGATTGCCTATGAGTGATTAATTGCTCAAATAATTTAAACTTAAACACATAGGAGAAATATTGAGGACTTAAAATATTTCCTACTTGTTTCTACTCACAAAGATGCGAACCGACACTAGGAAGGCAGCCCAGTGCCTCCGGTGGTGCTAACTGCCTGTCTCCTGCTTGGAAGTCAAAGAGGGGACCGGTGAGGGTGCACTTCTCAGGCAACAGGATTACTGAAACGCTCCAACCCATCACCTCATTTTATAGATGAAGAACAGAGGACCAGAGAGGTACAGGGGCTTGCCCAAGGCCACAAGGTCATCTGGGAACAAAGCAGTCCCTCCAGTTCATGATGGTGTTCTGCAGTCAGACAGATTTGGGTTCATACTCTTGGCTAACTTTTGCTTCATAACTTTGGACTAGAAAACAAGTCTTGGTTTCCTCAGCCATAGAAGGAGACAGATCATTTCTGTCTTCTTGCACTGTTCTGAGGATCAAATGAGAAAATGGATGCTAAGCATTTGACAAATGTTAGTTTACTCCCGTTCCTTCTCCCAAATGAGTGCCCCTTCCCCATTCCACGCCTCTTCAATGTCTGTGGCATTTCAGATGTGCAGAAACTCCTTCTTGGCAGCTCTCAGGCATTAGCTCCAGTTTATGGCTGGAGAAAATCAGGAAATTAACTGCACACTAATGATAGTTCTTTTTTCCCTTGCTTCCCAGTGTCCACAGTAACTCTGCCCTTAGGGCCAGAGGATAGCTAGGAGGCACCAAGGCAACGCTGGCGTTGGTGGAGGACATTGGGAGGTTCCCAAGAATATAAGTAAGAATATGATGACTTGTCCCCTGTCCTTTCTCTTGCTTACCCTGTCCCTGACGTTGCCTACATCTTCCACAGCCAACTGATGCTAATGAAACAGAGCTGGGCAGAGAGTTTTTTGGGAACATTGAGATAACCAGTTATGAAAAAATAAAATCTTCATGGTGGTAGAAGAGAGTAAAAACTGATAACAATTCACTGAGTATACCAGCAAAGTAGAAATGCAATAGCAGCCCCCTCCAGCCCTGGCAGGCCTTTTTTGGGGTCAAATCATGGCACATCGGAAGGGTTAGTGGGCAGTAACTCAGCACAGAGATATTTTCCTACATAAAGCACGCAATCAGTTTCTCTGGCAATAGAGAGAGAGTTGACTTCGGTGCATCCCATTTGTGAATGGAGAGAGCTCTCTTTATCAGCAAATTCAGACTCTTAATTATACAAAAAAAAGTTTCCTCAAAATTGCGTAGTCCATTAGATATTAAAATGTTGGTGGTTTAACACGGGAAGTTTAAATTCTCATTAAAATATAAAGAAATTCATTTCAAGCCATCGTTTGCACTGCCTTATTCTAGAACGCTGCCTCGTGGTTCCATGAATTTCCCAAAAGCTCTTGTCTAGGGACAGGTTTCCACTCAGAATTCCTTCTATTCATTAAAAATCAGTGCAAGTTAAAAAAATGTTTTCTTTAACTTGTTCATTCTGGACCATGTGATATGGTAAATCAGGCCAAATTCCCCTGAGGAAAAAAACCCATGGGGTAACAAGGAATGCCACTGTGGAAACGAGAAAACAGGGGCCCTGGGTTAGATTCTGTCCCTAACTAGCTTTGTGACCGTGGGCAGGCCCAGCCTTTCTCTGCCTTGGTGTCCTCCACACAAAATTAAGAAAAAGGAACAGTAGATGATGTAAATTCACCTACTTGATGGTACCACACAACATTGCAATTAGGCTTCAGCCACAGAGACACTGGGCAGGGGTAGCTCAACTAAGTCTGAAAGTTAAACTGGAATATTTATTTCCTACAGCCCAACTAGTAGTCTAATCAGTAAAGCTGTTAAACTTGCAATAATATTTCACTGATGTGTACCAGAGCGTTGCAAGTTATAAAATTTCCAATTTAATTTTACTGCATCCCTGAAGCCGTAGTAATTAGAAGACAAACTCACAGTGAAGATGTTCACAGCTTCAGGGGTGATAATTTTGAACCTGTCCTGCAGGTCACTTCTGTCCTTCAGGTTCCCAGATTTGACAGCTGCCTGTAGACTCAGGATTTTATTGTAATACTGCAGTAGCTCGTCACTCATTGGATGGGAGCAGATGTAGATGACGCTCACGTTGGCATCTGAAAGCAACAAGCACAATGTTAATTACTGGTATAAAGGTAAATGACATTATGAGCTCTGACATCAGATTGATGTCACACAGTTTAAAATAAAGACCATATCCAAAAGCCACGGTGAAGTTAGTTTAGATTGGTCTTGTACAAATGTTAGCAATTTAACCAGCTTCTTTTGCACTTTAGCATTTCTCTAAAGAAAAGATAAATAACACTACCACCAAAAAAAATAGACACAACAATTTCTTCAGAAGGAGGGCTGTGAGGTACCGTGGAAGTGTACTTTCAAGTAATATGTAGGGATTTAGCCCCAGAACTCCCATTAACATCAATGGGAATTGCATGCTGCTTTAAAAATTTATCCCATTAACTTTAGTAAATTATAAAACAGAGCTATTAACTTTAGAAAGCTGATGAAATTGCAATTTCTTATTCTGCCTGGTCTTGGCAGGGCCAATTGAGGGAATGTCCTGTCCAAATAAATGGTCTGATTATGACCACAGAAATGATATTTCAGGAAACCAACGTTTTCCCTGCTCCATTCCCAAAGAGGAGGAGATTACTTAAATAGCACATTTAGTGATTCTTGGCTTAAAAAAAACACTGCGTTAATTTAGCTGTTCTCCTTTTTTTTTTTTTGGTGAGGAAGACTCTCCCTGAGCTAACATTCATTGTCAATCTTTCTCTTTTTTTTGCTTGAGGAAGATTAGTCCTGAGCTAACCTCAGTGCCAGTCTTCCTCTATTTTGTGTGTGGGACGCCTCCACAGCATGGCTGACAAGTGGAGTAGGTCTGCACCCAGGATCTGAACCTGTGAACCTGGGCTGCCGAAGTGGAGCATGCAGAACTTTAACCACTCCGCCCCAGGGCTGGCCCTACTGTTCTTCTTCTTAAGACAGCCTTCTTATTAGGAACATAGAAAGAAATCCTAATTAAATATCCCATCCAAATGGAATAGCGAGACAAGATTACCCACTCCAGGCTGCAGGATGTTCAGGGAGTATGGAGAGGAGATCAGCAGCCAATCGAGTCATCCATTCATTCATAAAATGACTGCTCGGTAGTGGCAAAGCCCTTGGCTAGACATGGAGGGAAACACAGGAATCCAAGCAACTGAAATGCTACCTGTGAGAAACAACCACTTTTTTATTGTTGTTAGTGCCACCGAGTCGATCCGACTCCTAGTGCCCCCTGTGCACAGCAGAGCAGAACCCTGCCTGGTCTTTTCACGCCATTCTCTCATCTTCTGGCGCTGCTATTCATAGGGTTTTCATGCCAATTTTTTTGGAAGTGAGAGGCCAGGTCCTTCTTCCTAGTCTATCTTAGTCTGGAAGCTCCGCTGAATCCTGTCCACCAGGGGACAGGTGACCCTGCTGGTATTTGAAATACAGGTGGCATAGCTTACAGCAGCACAGCAACATGCAGCCACCACAGCATGGCAACCAACAGCCAGGTAGCAACCCTTTCGCATGCGCACACAGCCGTAAAACATGGCGGGGTGTAATGGGTACAAAGAAGCATGCAGACAGGTGCTTAGGGAAGTCCAGAGGAGGGAGGGCTGTAAAATGTCTCCTTGGTCAGGCAGGGCCAAGAGAGGATCTTAAGACTCCTCTGTTCAGTTTGGCAGAGTATATGGAGTGTAGACTGATCAAATTCTAGCTCAGCTGCCTAGGGACCCTGGGCACGTTATATAACCTTTCTAAGCATCGGTTTCTTCATCTGTAAAATGGGGAACAAAATCACCTGGGGCATGGAGCTTGAGGAGTATTAAATGAAAGAATATATATAAAGCCCCGGTGCAGGATCTAGTTCCCAGTAGCTGCTCAACAAATAGTCCAGATGCACGAATCTACCCCACGGCCCATCCTGACGGGGCCAGCCCACAGTGAGTCCCCAGCCCGCCTTCCACACTAGTGCTCCTTTTAGTCAGTGCCTCAAGAGTTAACACGATGAAATTATGTCCTCTTTGTTCCATCCTGTTGTTTTGAATCTATTAATCCTGTCTCTCCAAACTTCCCACAGGTGAGGCGTGTATTTTTTCTTCTATTTCCCCAAGCCGTGGTACAGTGTGGCGTGTGTGGGAGCCACTCAATAAATCCCTGTGGGCTGACCAAAGGGACTGCGGAGAATGGAGGGATTCAGGAGATGGAAAGTCTTACACAGTAAGTGAGATCCTCGGCATGCAGGAGAAATCTCCCTTTCCAGAGACAAAGCATCTTGTAGCTAGAAGCAATGTGTTCTGAACTGGCCCAGTGCTGGCTCTAGAGCAAGTGATCTAGAGATGTAAATATTTAAGTGGCTCCTATTTAATTTGGAACCCAAATTGCCACATAAACCTCAAAATAAATTAATGGGGAGACAGTAGTTAGATAACTTGTACCCAATTGCTGAATGATCCAATTAGTCATTCCAAGTCTTGTTGTCAAGAAGAGACTAGAGCTTTACCAAACCAGTGTTTTTTTAAAGTATAAAAAAGTAGGACACAAAAACAAACAACAAAAATAAGTTAAAGACTCCATAGCAGGAGAAAAATAAATCTTTCTTGGGAAAAAAATGTCTCAGTTACAAATGATAAATCATGTTGCTAATTTCACCTTTTCTGTTCATTTCTGGCCAAAAAAAAGTATCCAATATTAATGTGGTTTGATAATGAATCCACAAATTTCAAAGTTAATTGACAGGTAATTTTGGAAAGGAATTAATATGAAGATGAAGGCTGCTTTGATTGCTACTCAATAGTCAATATCAGTCACTCTCTTGCTTAACTCATCTAGGAATTGAAAACACTAGCCATTGCTGTCCCCACTTGACACCCTGAGTTCACAGCCAATATCGAAATGACAAGTCTTCCCAGTGTGATCGGATTATCTTTTTTTCCCTGAATAAGCAGAAAAATCAACACCCTTTACTAGGAATTAATAGAATAATAAAAAGAGACTCATTCATTTTTCTACAAAATTATTACTAATTTTTCTAGTTTCTTCCTACTTTAACAAGCAAATACTTTTTCTACATTCTAACCACTATTTCTGAACTTTCATTACTCCTCTTGAAAAGGTTTGAGGATTGCATTGCTATATCATGAGGATAGTGTACAAAGAAAAGACATTTGGTTCATAATCTCTCAGAAATGTCCATATTAGCAAAATTTTCCATTGCAGGTGGGCATAGACTGAATTATTCAATTATTTAAAATAGAAGCCTAATACTTTCGAGTCTTTCCCCATAATGAGAATATTTTGTACAGAAATTCTTTGCTGATGGTTTGTACTATATATAGAAGGGTATAAAAAAAGCTGAGGAAAAAAATTAATTCAAATAAATTAGAGCAAAGTCTGCCCTCTGCCGCACTTCAGTGGTTTCCACCCGGTCAGGTTTTTAGTTGAAATAGCTCAACACTAACAAATCAATCTCAAGTCATTAAAAAGAATTTTTTTGGTAATGCTGAAAAACAATATGAATGCCTAGATAATAGATTAACGCAATTACACTATTATTATTGTAGGACACTGTAAATTTCTTGTGCTGATGTATTTTTGTTACCAAATGGCATTTATAAAATAATAATGATGCTGAAATATATATGAATCATGTAAAGTATGTCATTCCAGGGAGCCAGCTAAGTTGGTCATTGATAATTTAAAATTCTTCCTCGTTTTGCTTAAATAAGGGACAAAGCAATTATATTTTAACAAAACAAAGAAGATCTTATTTGGTAACTAATTAAAAACTAATTTTTGTTTAACCTTGAATTTTTGGCCCGTACCTCCCACACGGGTTCCCTCTTACTGCTGAGCCTTTGCAACCTCTATTCTCTAAGCCCAACCTGAAGCTTAGCATCGAACAGGAGCCAAAGCCCTCTCTCCTCAGCCCAGAGGGCGTCTGATCTAGAACTGACCAAACCAGTATCAGAACTTGACCTTTACAAAGGTGTATCTTTCACGTAAGGTCTGTATTTCTAAGAATTCCCTCCACTAGGCACTTCTTGTTTTCTAATAACTAGATGATATATACTCAAATAAAAGCTTCTTTTAAAAATCTATCTTCATTTCCCTCTTATTCTTATAATGAAAACACAATGCTTTTCATTTCTGATACCACCTTCTACTCATTCCGCAGATATCATAATAGACAATATTGACACAAATATAAAATTTTGACTTCACTCACTGCAAAATTCAGTAAAAGAAGAAGATTTGGGGCTATGGGAAAGAAATTCTTATCCAAACCTGCTGCAAAGAGAATTTAGAAAACTATCCAAGTAAATGGGTTAAAAATGTCATTTTTTAATTCAAGTTGACTTCAATGTAAATTGGCCCTTTAAAACAAAACGTTCAATTGACCCACAGGCAGATTAGAAATCTAAGCTTTTTCCGTATAGAGGAAAAAAAGTAAGCAAAAAATAAACATTTTATCAACATTCACTGACAAACATTCCAAAGAGCCATTTGTGTAAAAACATTTACGGTACCTAAGATGTCACACAGCCTCCCCAGCTGCATGTTCTGCTGTGTGTTGAAGTCGGCAATATTTTGTCGCACAGGCCGGGAATATCCTAAAAGGCAAAGAAGGTGTCAAAACCCAGAAAGAGCAAGTCAGTATGGCAAAATGGCACACTAGGATTTCAAAGTGTCACAGTCCACACTCCAGGAAAGGATCTTCTCTGAAGCATCTTGCAGAAACAATCTAACTCCTAAGAATGTGATCCCTGCTTCTCAGGGGATTAAGCATTATTCTGGAAGATGTGCTAAGCAGCGTATTCTGCCACAGAGAGGCTCATATTTTTCAATCCCAGCAAAGCTGCTGGGAATTAGGATTACAAAAGCATGGGGAAAATTTCTGACATTTAACAGGAATGTTCAAAGCAGCATGTAAGAAAGTCATGCTCAAGTTTGAAAAAAACTATTTTAGCTTTTAACTTACGCTTCCTATGTGGCCTTTTGAAGATGTGTCCCAGAATCATTCTAAACTAACACACAGATTTCAGAGAAACCCTTGCTGTCAGAAATACGTATTTAAGTAATAAAATACTAAAGAAATATGCTTCTGCTCACACAGTCAAAAGAACTTTTAACCTTTAAAGGGCAATGAAGGTTAATGCCGTTACGGCGTTGGCTCTAACAGAAGTCCTGCAGTTTGCCTTCCTGTCCGTTGGAAACAGAGCAGGAGGAAGATGCATGTGGATGACGACTGACCAAAAATCTTCCACAAAAGAAACAACAGCGACACTTTCTGCTGCTGTTTCAAGGGTAGAGAAAATAAGTGGGTTAAAACAGGAGTTTAAAAGGCATGCATATTCACAAGCAGGTATGATTGCTTAGATGAAATTCAGCAACTGTAGGTACAATTTTTTTTTTAAGTAAAATTGCTTTCCACATTTTGAAGAGATGCTTCAATGCCTCCTTGTGGTTAGTGAGCCCAAACACATGTTTCAAGTTAAACCGCTATGGATAAAGTGGTTTTAAATACTACGACTTTGAGATGTGACACAGATTTCCTTTTCAGCATAAGGAAAACTACAGTAATTCAGGCAACAGGGCTTCAGATCAAATGAACTCTGATAATTGGTTCTTTGCTTTGATGTCAGTGTTTAAACATTAGACAATGTCTGGAAATTAAATGAGTTTATAATTCATCTAAAAGTCTCTCTTTTGTTTTACGCAGATGAACTTAAGAACGAAAAAGGCAGAAGGACAAATGGGTTGTTTGAATTATTTTTGAAAAATTACTAATTTCTAAAATAATTTGGGGGAATTATTCCACATATGAAAGTTAGTATAGACAGCTATAAACAATGCCATCTTGATGTGTGGTTGCAATACTGTAACTCTTGGGACTTTGCATATGTATAATTCTATCTAATATTCAGATAAATGTTTAGAAAGATATATTGTGAATAACGTATTTCCAGACTGTGAGAAGGCAGGAAAAATGCTTAAAGAATAAAGTATGATTAAGAAAAGTGCCTGAGAGCATTCTGTGAGTGCATTTCCTTTCAAAGGTAAAAAGATAAAAGGCAGGATGAGCTGTCTCATTAAGATCATGTCCAATTTAAGACATAAAGGATGTCTGATCACTTTGTTGCCGCATATGCAGCATGTGAGTGAATAAGTCTGTGTTTCAATCAAGTGCTTGAGGTCAGTTTTCCAACAAATTACTTGGTACCTCTGTTACCACTGATCAAGGATGCATATAAAGTGTCTATGCCGAATTATGATAGGACTGGTTACCCAGTTAACCCTAAAAATACACCCATTTTAAAGAAGTGTATGTTAACAATCTCAGAACATTGTTACAGAAGATCACATGAAATAACAGATATGAAACTTTTGTAAACTGTAAACTGTTATATTTTAATGTTACGAAGTATGTGCACTTCCAAAGCTTATAACAATAGCAACGACAAATTCTCTGTTGCAACAAATGCAACAGATCATTCTACGTGGGCCAGACACAATGCAATGCACATCACCCTCAGCAGAGCAGAAGTTGGGAGTTAATTTTTTAAAAAGTCAGATTTGTTCTCATGTTTTGTACATCCACAAAGTACCTGTGTTGACACCTGGGTGAAAAGATCTCCTCAACGCTGTCAGCATGTATTAAATTCAATAGTGACTTAACCACAAAACTACCAGCAAGGATGCTGTGGCTTTGGGGCGTTCAGCAGACATGCTCAGTGGCGTGACACATCACACTGTGGAATGAAATCTACAAAGACATGGATATTTCAAAGGTCAGACTAGAAACACTGGCGGAGTTTTGAGAGAACATCTACTTCCATCCTGTCATGTTGTAGGTGGGAAAATTCAAAGTGAGTGCCTTGTCTCTCGTCCAAGATCACACAAACCTACAAATTATTATATAGTTCAGATACTACATATTTAGCTGTTATGACAAATGTGGTTACATAAAATAAGAGAGAGGACAAGACTTTCCAAGTGTGAACAGAGAACTCCAGAAGGGACCAAGAGCTTTGCTTCTTTTCTCACTTTTATTTTCAATTATTGTGATAGGCAGAATAGCGGCCCTCCAAAGATATCCATGTCCTGGTCCCTGGAACCTGCGAATATGTTAGGTTACACAGCAGAGGGGAAACAAAGTTGCAGATGGAATTAAGGTTACTAAACAGATAACCTTAAAATAGGGATATTTCATCTAGATTATCTGGGTGGACCCAACGTCATCACAAGGTCCTTAAAAGTGGAGGAGGGAGGCGGGAGAGAAGAGAGTTGGAGAAGACGTGACTACAGAAGAAAGGATGTGACTGGAGAAGAAAGGCACAGAGAGATGCAAGTTGCTGGCTGTAAAGAGGGAGGAGGAGGGCCAGGGGCTTTCCTTGTTCGTTCTTTTGTGAGTGGCTTCTAGAAGCCGGAAAGGGCAAGGAAACATGCTCTCCCCTCGGACCTCCAGAAAGGAATGCAGCCCTGTGGCACCTTGACTTTAGCTCCTTTAGGACTTCTGAACGACAGAACTGTAAGGCAACAAACTTGGATTGTTTTAAGCCACTAAGCTTTTGGTAACTTGTTACAGAGTGAGAGAAAACTAATAAGATTGTCTACCTTCTCTTACTCCCAGTAAGTCCCATCCCTGGCAGATAACTCTCTCAGTCTAATTGAAAGACGAGGAGGGGGCGCCAGGGATCTCACAGCAAGCACTCAACGTGTTATTGTTACTCTTATTATTGTTATTTCTTTCCTGACTTCAGCTGAGCCAGACTTAAGTTCTCAAAAGGAGCTTCATTTGAATGAGGGGCATTATTATTATTACACGCACACGATTATTTGAGCTATCAAAGTACAGGTTTTCTAGGGTAGGGAGCCCATAGCCCTCATCACTGTCAGGTGTGCCTGACCGCTCTTCTAAGGCTCTCAGTCTCCCCTCCCTGTCATTCTCTGCACCCTTGCTCCCCTGCATTCTCTCATTTTGTCATTACATGTTTCTTTGCTTGCTTGCTTCCTTGTTTGTTGTACGTCTCCTCTCCCCCGCATCACTCCGGCTCCTGGAATCAGACTGGAAGCTCCATTGGAGCAGGAACAGTGTGATATCACCATCGAATGAGTGAATGAAATGTGGTCTGAAGACCCTACTCCAAGAATCTGTCTTTTAAATTCCTAGCCCTTTCCCCTATGTGTTCTCATCATTCCCTCCCCTCCTTTCAACTCATAGAATTGGGTTCTCTGATCTGGAGAGCTTCTGGGGAATTCAAAGAATGGTAAGAGGGATTTGTAGCTTTTTCTAGGTCTTCATCAGCAACAGGATAAAACAGCACTGGCATAAATGGGTACTTTCCCTTCCCTGTCACTACAGAGAGGAAGTACACAGTCTCTTTCCTTGCGGCCATCCCTGTCACCTGCAAAATACTCCTAGTTTGATAGAGCATTCTATATTTTTTCAAAATATTATTGCCTCCATTTCACATCAGAGAAGGGTACCTGAGAGCTGCCTCTCTGAAGTAATCCAACGACTTTCGGTCCTCTGTTGAACCACAGATGCTCATCAATGGTTACTGGCTATCATTTCTCCATAGCTACCTTCACCTCCTTTCCCATCTCTATCCCCGCTCCCACACAAATTCCTATCAGATGACGCCAATCGCCTCTTTACGCACACTAAACTAGCTCTTCGAGGATTGGCTTTTCCTTCACAGCAACCATAGAAACCCAACAACACGGGCAAGGCCATGCTCAGCGACTAAGCATCCTTGGGACTGTGCACCTCTGTGACAGACCCTGCTGTTACAGTGGCATCACATATTCTTGAACACCTTGCTTATTACTCTGATTGATTCCTTGTTTCTTTTGTCTCCAAATCCTATTTCTTACAATGGTATCCGAGGCAGAGAAAGGGTTAACAATAGACTTCCAGTTACCAAGTAGTTGTCATTCATTTGATCACCATGGTCTGAGATGGTAGTCAACCACACCTCAGTTCCATGGACTGGAACGGTAGTTCTCAACCTTTTTCCCATTTTGAAATACATGAGGGGTGATGTTCAAATGTATCATGCACTCCTAGGGGCATACACAGGGTTATTATAACAGTGGCAGTAACTCCACCCCTTTCTCCTCCAATCAAGAAAGCATGCTGGATGCAAGCTGAGCAAGAGTGACATCATTAGACAGATAACCTTCAATTGCTCCAAATCATAAAAAAGTGTTAACCATTAGCCAACTGTAGGACTCTACTAGTGAAAATGCAGGGGAACATGTGACCTACCGCACAACTGATTGCGCATCAGCATGTTGCAGTAATCTAGAGAAATGTGATCTAGACATTACGGTTATACCCAGGTTTTAATTACTTGTGCAAGTGTGAAAGCACAAGTTCCTGAGATAAGAGAGAAGATATAGCAGAAGGGAGGCCTACCCGGCTTGTGTAGGTAGGCTGTCCAATGCCAGGTTGATGAGAGTTTGTGGGGAAGCTGCTGAGGGGGATTAGGGAATTTTGTGATGAGAACACAGAAAACACAGGAGGTTCTCAAATATTTGTTGAGTTTTGAAAATATTCTCAAAGCAAACTGGCCAAATGGATTCTGTGTGGTTCTGAAAGCTTTCT